AAAATGAAGTGCACACCCACACACCCACACCCTACAATCGAAATTGCAACATTTTTGACTTTTTCACCTGAAAAATGTTGAACAAGGCCTCTCCCCTCACTCAAAAATCGATCTCAGCTCAGGTACGTTCAAATGGGCTGAAATTTGGAGCATATGTTAGGGTTGAAGTGAGGAAGCTATGGTAAAATTTTCAGCTCAATACCCTGATGTTTGACAGAGATATGAACCAAACAAGGGTCAAAAATAGCCCATTTTCCGTCCAAGATTCCTCGGTCCAGGTTCTTTCAATATATTTAAATTTTTTTTTGTTAGAAAGAGCATATCAGGATGCAAGGCAGCACAGAGTCTGTTTTTTTAAATTCTTACTTTTTTAGCGGTAAAAGGGGATCACAAGCTCAATGACTCAAAAAACGCGCCAAAAATGGGCGTCTAGCTACATAAATGTCTGTATATATAATAAAAAATAAAGCTTAATTTAAAAAAGGACTCTGTGGTGCCCTGTACCCGGACATGCTCTTTCTAACAAAAAAAAAATTTAAATATATTGAAAGAGCCCGGGCCGAGAAATCTTGAACAAAAGATCGAAAAGGTGTTGGTGGGTGTGGGTGTGGGCATGGGTGTGGGTGGGGTGTGGGTGGGGTGTGGGTGGGGTGAGGGTGTGAGTGTGGATGGGTATGGGTGTGGTGTGGGTTTGGGTGTGGTGTGGGTGTGGGTGAGGTGAGGGTGTGGGTGTGGATGGGTATGGGTGTGGTTGTGGGTGTGGTGTGGGTTTGGGTGTGGGTGTAGGTGTGGGTGTGAGCGTGGGTATGGGTGTGGGTGTGAGTGTGGGTGTGGGGAGTGGGGGTGCGGGTGTGGGGATGCGGGTGCGGGTGTTATTCTCTTGTATTCGACCTAATACCCACGCACAGCACTCACACCCACACTCACTCAGATCCTGTCTCACCTCGGTTTTTCAATAGATTAGATTTCATTGTATGAGACGTTCAGTTTAACCCCTTCTTCATTAATTTATTTCATAGAAAATAGTAGAATCGGTTGGCAGTCTCTAAATAGATCTTCGAGTAAAAGATCAGAGGGTTGTTAACTAGTTTTGTTTAGTGCGGTTTACGATGATGTAGATCCGAGAATTAACGATGAAATATTCAAGTAAACGCTGTACGATTGGGTGTTCGGACAAAGTACTTATCATATTTCATTGCCTTTATATCTGGCTGATTATCGCTTTGTTTCAGTTTCAGAGCATGACAAATCATGTTGCATATGTGCGTCTGAAAAAAGCGTTTCATGCCCGGATTGCCAAGATTTGTGCGACCGAAACGACACAAATCGGTAGAATGTATACATGGATCTGTAAGTAAATACATACCATCGTTTTCAGTAACAGAACCTTGTAAGTCAACAACCATCATATCACCATTTGTACGTTCATAGGTCCAATGTGAAAATGCTTGTAACGTATATGCTGGATCACTATGATCTACGAATCCAGCATTATTTGAGTACTTCTTATACGAGCCTTCGATGAATTTTTCTATTGTCAAATTACGATATTTTCCTAAACCTACGCAATCGAACACTAGTTTCGCCATTATAAATTTTATTTTTTTAACGAAAGTCTTCATATTATGTAGTTGCGGCAATTGGTTGAACTCCTTTGCCAGATGATCAGCGACTGTTTGACAATCCAAAACTTCTAAATATTTGTCCTTTGTATTTGCACCACGATCAGTACGTTGGTACTCTTTTAGAACAACTTTTTCCCATTGATCTTTATATCGCATGCAACCATAATATGCTAGACGCGATGCACCTTCATCAAAAGGATTTTTGGCAATTTTAATTTCCCAGTGTTGAGTTATCTCGGAACACTTCAGCTCTTCATTACATATGTACCTCTTTACTGGCAGTTTCTTAGATTGTATAGTTGACCATACTGGTTCTATCTTATCGAAAACAATATCTTGTCGAAATGTTTTCTTTGATTGGCTACGTACATTCCCTGAATCAACATCATCTCCACTGTGTGTTTTCAATAATGATGATGTTTTCTCTGAAATTGACCTACTTACGCTTTCAACGATAAACGGTAATAAGTTTTCATATTTTTTGAGATCAACTTCTTCAATTGCCATTCGGTTTTCTGCATAAGAGATAAACTTTTCAATCATTTTGTCTGTAGTAGAATTCAATCGACCAAAGAAATATTTCACTTTCAATTCAATGAGTTCTTGAATATAACTATATCCAATTGATCCATCACCATCGTTTTCAAAATTTTTGTCAGCCCTGTCCGACAAATCATGATAAAGCTGGCCGTGTGCTGGAGCGTCACCAACATGTATCATAATGCGCACAGGTTGTTTCCAATCCAGTTTCGTGACTTTTTCTAAACCGCCTAAAACATCTTCACAATAATCACCGCCATCCATACATGTCACCTTCGACACAAATTCGTGAAATATTTCTTTATTTGTAAAATCTAAAATACTGTATTGCAGGTCTTGAGACAAATTTAAATCACGATATCCAACGAATGCTAGACGGTTGTTTAAATTTGGAAAACGATCCTTTAGCATTTCAACTGTTTTATATATGTATTCTCTTACTTCATCGATATATCTTTCCATACTGAGGGTACAATCCATCATAAAGCAAACATCAACAGACTCAGCATTTTTCAGTTCTTTTATAATTTCATCGATTTCTTTTTTGCGTTTGGTTACAAAATGCAAATGTTCATGAGCGTTTAGTATCTTTAGCGAACTACCAGCCAGGCTTTCTCGACTTTCTTTTTGTAATGCATTACACTGGTTCTGCATTCGTTCGAGAAGCTTTTCAAACTCGCCCTTTTTTTGTTGACACCGTTCGATTTCATCCAATTGACGACGAAGAGCAGTGATATCTGGCATGGCACTTGTATCTGCTGTGCGTGGCGATGAAAAAAATTGCCTAGCCATTGTCGGTCTGACGCTATGGTTTCACCAGTAATTAATGTATTAACGACTTGCTCCAATGAGTAACAATGGGTTCTGTGGTGAATCTACCGCTTTCTTCTCTAAAAAAGTGTATTAAATACAAAGGAACATTGTTGCAAACCACGAGAGTTACTAAATGTTGACATCGAGGATGTGATGTGAGTATAGAAGCGGGCACTGGTGTGTCTTTCTCTGCGTTTGGACGTAGCTCAGGTCAATGATTCCGGCCTCCACAACCGGCCAGAAACGGTGTATTTTCCGGCCTCTTCCCACCGTTTCCGGTGTCTTTCCCGCCGGAAATGACCGGAAAAACACCCGGAACATGGAAGCAGTATTCCGGCCGGAAATTTCTCGTACCCGGAAACGCAGCGTTCCGAGAATTTCCCGCTTACGGAAATCCACAGCAAAAAACCAATAACCCGCAGGAACCGACCGGAAACCGTCAAAGAACGAACCGTTTCCCACCGGAAAACCCGGAGGATCCTCTCCTCACATCTTTGAAAGATCTATGAAAGATCTTTCAAACATGTGTGGAGCGGGTCCTCAGAGTTTTCCGATGAGAAACGTTTCGTTCCTTGCCAGTTTCCGGTGAGTTCCTCCGGATTCTTACTTTTTCCATGTGGGTTTCCGTCGTCTGAAAATTCACTGAACGCTGCGTTTCCGGGTACGAGAAATTTCCGGCCGGAATACTGCTTCCATGATCCGAGTATTTTTCCGGCCATTTCCGGCTGGGGGTGACACTAGAAAGGGTCGGAAAAGGCTAGAAATCACACAGTTCCCGGCTGATTTCTGAAGGATTGGCGGCCTGAATCATTGATCGAGGAAACGATCTTTTAACATCTTTTTCCATTCGAACACTAA